CTGCGCAGTCTCCCGCCATGTGTCGTAGAATACAAAGACATCGTCAGCTCCAATTCCTAGAATAATGTATATTGCCAAAATATGGAAAAATCCAAAGTATCTGAAGTCTGCGATAATACGATAAATCAGATTTGCCCCACAAAACCCTGTCACGATCGTCAAAACCGCCCAACCCGTGATCCATAGCGATCTGGTTTGAAACCAAATGAAACAGAAAATGAAAGCGAAACTGCCAACAGCCAGGACCATGTCCCAAACCACTTGACTCAAAATGTCATTTCTGAAAATAAGAAAGCTGTAGTAGAATAACGACAGGCCTTTGGGTCGTGATTTCTGTGAGTCTTTTAATTTCGGCACGATGTCGTTCACGAGAAAAGTTTCGATTTCCTTGCGTTGTTCGTCTCTCTCGCCTCCGGTTTCCAGTGGATAACCCATAGGTAAAGAACTTCGAGTTATCTTAGAACGGACAGTGTTCGGGTTAACCTCAGAGTCGATGCCTAGAAAATACTGAAACTCAACTCTGGTTAACGTATTGTTTTGAGCTTCAAACAAAACAGTAGGAATGTTGCCAAAAGTAGGATCATTAAACTTGCTACTGATGTGTGCCAAACTGCCGTCAAAGTAGCGAAGGATAGACCTTGGTTTTATGCATGTTCTGTTAAAATCCAGTTGGCAAAATGAGTTCTGATATGCAGGTATATTGTAAATGTCATCCTCCAACTTTTTCATCTCTTGAAGTATATCTTTTGTGAATACGTTTCCGTCGGGAATTTCATAGTACAAAATTACACTGTCAACGGTGGCGCTTCTATTCCAAAATGTTCGCACAGTATCCGTAGTTACTCTGCGGATCCGCCCAGTCTCGTTGTTTCTGAGGCGCCACGCCAAATCTCGCAAACGTGTGGGGTCTTCATTGAGGTTCATTGGGAAGGAAAGGAACTCAACGGGGAATATGTCATATCTAGCAGCCATTAATATCGCCGTTACCACCACAAAGGCAATGTGGAATCCTAATGTTATACCTACGATAAAAATGAGAATATGAGAATGCAGAAAAAGACATAGAAATAGATAAGAAAGAAAACGAGGTGTCTTTAATACTTGAACGAGACAAATGTTTCAGTAAGCATATTGATTATCGCCAATGTGATATTATAATTATAATCATAAATGACAACAAGAATATACACATTCTGGATGATATTGAGAGTGTTCCTTAAACTTACAGAAAGCAGATTTGGGGTAGTTGGCCACAAATTTGCAGTATAACACTGGATCTCTGTCCCGCTGACGTTGCCTCCTTTCTTCCGCGTGTTCTTCGTCGTGTTCTTTAAGTGCATTAGCCTTCTTTTCCTTTTTTCTTTTTTCATTTTCCCCTCCAGTAGGTAATAAAGTCCTATGCAACCTGCGTCTCCCAAGGCCACTTGCCGTATCACTGCTGTGAGTGAATTGTGCTTGAGAGGGGATGGCTGTCGCATGACCGTTGAGTGACCAGTCACTTGAACCGATGTGACCATTTTGATACGGTTGGTAGTTTTCGTAAACCCTTTCGGGTGCGACGCGGTCATTCTGGTTGTGATATGGAAAAGAACGGTCTTTCCGATGATCATTTGATGGAGGTGATGATTCATAATGCCATGCATTATGACTCCTGGGGTGGTAAGGTTCGGGAGGGGGTTTGGTCGTGCCGCCCTTATACCATCGACCCCTGACATAGTACATCAACCCGCTATCACGGTCTGAATCCATGGTAAGGTTCACTGTAAAAAAATGGCAAAGGACACTTTAGTCATACATGTAGGTAAATCGAAAACTGGTGCTCACCTTTTTCCAAATAAAAAATGGCGAATTTTAATTAAAATAGCACCTTTAAGAAAGAAAGGAATCGTTACTCAGTAGTTTAAAATGACCAAAGTTACACCATTCATTAAAATTCTTGGAGTTGAGTTTACATCCTGAATCCCCCAGTGTCACCCTGAGCTTCAGAGATAACTTGACACTAACCTCTTCACTATAGCCTATCTTCATCGTGTCAAGTTATCTATATATTATATATTATAAGTTAACTTGACACGATGAAGATAGACTATAGTGAAGAGGTTAGTGTCAAGTTATCTCTGAAGCTCAGGGTGACCAGTGTCAGCTGTCATCTTCATCTCCCCAAATGGATCGGTCCAGTTAATTATACCGCTTTATGTGAAAAGGGACGAATTAGGTTTATTTAAAGAAGACCTGGTATCGAGATTTGTTTTATTGAAAAGGTAAATTTTCTGTTAAGGAATGATTTCAATTGTTTTTTAAAAACCTACGAACACTGAGATCTAAATAATGACGTGAAAAAACGTTGGTCACAAGTGTTTTCTCGTGCTAAATTAATCGACTTTGGTACTCGTTACTTCCTCAATTGAGTTATCCTTTAGAAATGGATAAAACAGTTAAAGAGTACCAAGCCTATTTTTCGGACCTTTAGTTGAGGGTTCTCTTCAATTTCCTTAACAGAATTACTCATATTTGAAGTTTGTTTATATGTTATGTATTAAAATCATAATAAGCTAAAATACGCAGTCATTGCCACCTGTCCAAAACAACCTAAATGAGCAGATTCTGAGGCAACCGTAAGAAGAGTTTAAGCCCGATGTAAGAAACTGCGGGTCCGTGTAGCAGGGACCTTTTCCCATTAGATTTATACAGGTTAGGTTGAGTGTGACGTAAGATGGACAAAATCTAGGGTGGGACTTCCTTGTACAAATCAATTGGAACCGGACCTTGTATAACAAAGGACTCTCTCGTATATTACGCAGGGGGGACAACGTGTTAACATCACAAAGATCAATCGATAAAATGTCTTTTTTAATATATTACAGACACAATGTATAAGGCAGTATGATATAATCGGACACTTATTTCTACACTGCTTTATGCGCAGGTTCTCAACCTCAACTTCATTGTCACTGGTCAAGTCTATTTTATCTTTGTCAAGTTCACGATATGTCATGATATGCCAGAGAACGTGCACACCGAGAAAAAAGTAGGCCTATATATGTCTTTTACTAGTAGCTTATGTACTCACCACTATTTCGGATCAGGTAAAAAACTACCCTGGTAGAGTTAGTTCTGATTGAACATCACTCACTTGTTTTAATGCTTGCCTGGGAATTGACTCTTATATATCGACCTAGGCTTTTCTATATTATCGTGATCTACCCATGCGCGTTCAGCACCAGCAGCCTTGCTTACTGGGTTGCAAAGAACATGAATAATAACCAAGCATGAGTCTTTTGTCCACGGATTTCGATCTAAAATACCTTTGGAGAAAGGGTCCCGGGGTCGCCTTATTGTTATATAAACCAAATACCTTTTCACACGCTCTAAAATTTAGTTATTCATGGAATTCGCTTGCAGAAAAAACAATAATTGCAAAGCACAATAAATAAATATAAATGCAGTTAAGTTGCTTTAGCCATCGTCATGAGAATAAATCGAATCTACCGTACGTTATTGTATATATATAACACTAATCCAGCCTTGAGGTTTGATACAATCATGTGACAATCTTCCGCATGCTCCAGGCAGTGCACGGTTATCTGGGATATGATGCATCTCAAAACTCTGTATCTACAAATTACTTTGTACTTTGCAAGCCATAGGAGCTATCAATTAAATACTTAAAGGAACCGTTCGTGTAAAATTATCGCCAAATAATACAATTGAGAGACTTTCGTGGGAATTTCTTTTATCTTTATAAAATCAGTCAAATAATGAGAAACGCCTGTCAACTGCTTAATCATTTTGAAGTAAAATTTATTAGATATTTAAGAGTATATATCACGAACGTTACTTTGCTCAAAACGTGTTTCTTAAATGCAAAACCAAAGGAAGAATTTTATCCTTTTACGCCCCCCCCCCCAAAGAAAAAGCCCTTTGACGGAAAACATTCAATTATATCTTAAGTCAAATTTTTGAAAAAGTTAATGGAGTCCTTGGTGATGTCATTGAAGGCAGGCTAAATGGTAAAAGAGGCAAAGGAAGCCAGAGACTGACAATGCTCGACCGCTGGCGTAAGAAGAGATAAAACGACGGAACAGAAAGTTATGGTGAGATCAAACGAAGGGCTGGAGATCGAGGATTGAGGCCGTCTTCTGGGTTCTGGAAGACGGTCAGATTCTTAAGTTTACATTGACGGGTATGCCTATCTGATTTTTTTCTGTCGGAAGACTGTCAAAATGGATAATGGATCAACCAAGATTATTTGGAAGACTGTCAGAAAATATCACTGGATCCGCCCCTGGGAGACACGTGGGAGACGCTAAACCTGATTCGCGGCAGAGAACCTAGAAGAAGAAGACATCTCAATTCATTGGAATATAATTTGGGAATATATTGACTTAAGTATTCATTTTATTAGATGGTCAAAAAAGTATTCGAATTTTTTTCCAAAAATCAGTTTTATAATTTTCTTTCACTTGATGTTTCAATTTGTATTATCAAGCATACTCCCCCTCCTCTTGTTTTTCTAGTGTTTTCTTTACACGCACGGTGGCAGCACCTCACAGCGAAGCATGTCTACCTAGCAGACGATAGGGCTTACTGGTAAGCTGTCCTGATTCATAAATCTGGAGCATTTTATCTTTTCAAGGACTTGAAGAATTTTTTTGAAGAATGATATATATTACAATTAGAGTGACGTTTGGATTTTAAATAGCGAAATACCTCGTTATACTGGAGACGGCCCCGACTGAACAATCTGACTGTGCATCTCTTTGCAATATTGCAGCAGGTGAGCTGGTGCGATTAGCTATATCGCGCGGTATATGTGGGTAAATCCCCAGTAGAAGGCATTCAACTCACACACATATATTTGGTAATCTGTTCACTTTTTGTCACATAACAAAGAGCTGTTATATTCTTAAGAGGTAGCTGACTTAATGAAAAGAAATATTGATAGAATTGACAATATTGATCTGTTACATGGTACGGCGTGCGTAACACATGATGTTACAGCCGCCATCTTGCATCTACAAGCGTGTGTACATCGTCGACCGGTGTTTGTTTTGATGTGTATATTATCGTATGTTTAACACATGATCTCTAACTAGCGCACAATGGAGACATTGCTAGAGCAACAAAGAAGGTATCACGAGGAAAGGGAACGACTTATGGATGCTATGGTCAAAGAAATGAATTATACAACAAAGACAGTAAGTTGGAATTATATTTGCATGCCTTAATTCAACTTTAAAGACATGCAGAATGGATGCTGAAGTTATAGAACATGTCAGTGTAAACATTAGTCAAAACGAACTAAAATTATTAAGATTTAGCTAATATGAATCATTCAGATTATATGACCTTCTCCATAGCCGTAGAAATATTGTGAAGATTTCAACTGGTTCCGTAGTGTAGTGGTTATCACGTCTGCTTTACACGCAGAAGGTCCTGGGTTCGATCCCCAGCGGAACCAGACGTTTCTTTTTTTTTTTTTTTTTTGTCCCCTTTTTTAAATATTTTTAGTAACGTTTATAGAACGCTTTAGTAAGGTAAAACAATAAAAGTGTTTTCAAACAATGTATATGCTACAGTGAAATATTATTTATTTCAGCATAGAGAAAAGATAAACTCAGACCAGCGTTTACGCCAGTTGCTAGATGTGAGTATGAACAGGCCAGTGGTTTGTCACCTGGTTGAAAAAATACAGAAACAGAAACATTTTTACAGTATATAAATTTTTTTCCTGAATTTAGATATAAGTTATGTTTTTTTATGAGATAATATGTTATTGACTTTTCTAATACTCAGTGTATGATTTGAATTCTGATGACAAAAATATATTTTAGAGACATGTGGAGTGTTCTGGGGAGTTGAAGGATCTTTATGAAGATAAAGATGGGTAGGTGAATTGAAGACTAGAACTTTTTAAGAGACACCACTTTTTAGTCAGTTATCAATTTTTTATAAGGCTTTGATTTTTAATTAACAAGTATAGAAAGCAGTTTTGAAAGAAAGCAAGCATGTAGAAATAGTTTCAAAAATAAAGCCTGAAAATTTTACAAAGTATACTTTCATTTTTCTTGATTATCTAAAATTTTATTTATGGTATACATTACTCAAATGATTTAATTTTTAGCATGAGAAAGGAAGAGGTTGCAGCTTTAACTGGTCCAAATGAGTTTGCAGAGTTTTACAGCAGATTAAAAGGAATCAAAGAGTTTCACAGAAAGCATCCTAATGAGGTAAATATTGACATGCCAGGAAGCTCTTAATGATTCTGTTTATGATTTTTGTAGGTAACATTTTAGAGAATGTTAAAGACTTCCAAAAAAAATTTTAATTCTTTTAGACATTTCCCACACATTTAAATTTACTTCCTGTATGTCACATTCGTTTACTGTGTAGATTTTGAGTTACATAAATTGTGTCATCTTTTTTTTAGATCAGCATACCAATGTCTGTGGAGTACGATGAGTTAGCAAAAGCAAGAGATAACCCCACAGAAGAGATGCAAAGTAAGTTATCTTCCATATTTACTTAATTTTAATTTTTACCCTATAGGTTCAAGTTTTATATTCTTTTGTTTGATACAGAATTCTGGGCTAGTATATGGGGGGGGGGGGGGGGGTATGACATTGCCTGTTATCACATATTGATGTCTTTTTGTTTTTCTTTTACAAAACTGTTAAACTCATAGTTGTAATATTAAACCAAATCCTGTTTAATGTTTTGTAAATATTAATATTTCATATGTGTTAAAAAAGTATGCGCATTTATGAAATTGCACGTATTACAATTTTCTTTTTTAGACATGGTAGAATTTACAGATGAGGAGGGTTATGGTAAATACCTTGACCTGCATGAGTGCTTTGAGAAATTTGTCAACTTGAAGGGAATTGAGGTAATAACAGTCAAAAGGGTTTCAGGTTGAACCCATTTTAACAAAAAAAAAAAAAAAAAATCACGACTAATTTAATTAAAAATGTTGATTTGAGTTGAGTGGTCAGCTCAATAACTGGACCTGTGATTTGAAGAATAACATGGCCCTGACTGATTTTCAGCCTTGTTAGATAAAGTCTAGAAATGGTACGAATTAAAGTAATGCTGGTAGCAGTCTTTTAACTACAATTAATTACAAACCTTTGGGTCAGTATAATAAGTAAAAGGTTTGTTTTTGTAAGCCAACCAGTTGAAATATACCCTGTTTTATGATAATGTTGAAGATTATCTGTGTCACTCAACTATACTGCACATTTTTTCTGATTTCAGAGAATTGACTACTTGACATATCTGGGGACTTTTGATCAACTGTTTGACATTCTGAAAGACAGAAAGAATGCTGCATACAAAGAGTAAGTAACACAGTATTCTGCTACCCTCTACCAGGGCGACTGATAGATTTTTACGGATATTCACAGATATGTCTCTAGCTAGATAGATTGTCATTTTAACTCTAAGTCTGACTTAGAGTTAAAATGACAATCTATCTAGCTAGAGACATATCTGTGAATATCCGTAAAAATCTATCAGTCGCCCTGGTAGAGGGTAGTATTCTGCAATGTAAGGGCATCTGTGTTGTAATAAAATGTTATCTTTAATGCTTTGTTCTAGTTAAATCCCATTCAAACATTTAAATAATAGATCTGGTATCTCTGGTTGGAAATCTTGATCCAAGACTGGAAATTACTGTATGAAATTTCAGTTACCTGCAGACTTTGTTGGAGTACTTGGAGGACTACACTACAAGGGTGAAGCCTCTTATGGATCTGAATGATGAAATGGATGCGGTGCATAAGGAATTTGAAAAGCAGTGGAATGAGGGCACTTTTCCAGGATGGCCAGTAAGTGTCGTATTCAATGTATTATATAAAGTTATGTTTTGTATAATGATATATAACATAATGCTAAGACTTTTAATTTCAAAAAGAAATGCCTTATGTGTAAGTTCCATGGTACCTGGAAAATGGATTCTTGAATTTTAGTAGAATGAAAATAAAATTGTACCTGATTGATTTTTTACTGATTTTGTTTAATTTTCAGAAAGAGACAAGTGGTGCTTTGACCCATGCTGGTGCACATTTGGATCTATCTGCTTTCTCTTCAGCAGAGGTAAGATTTTACCACTTTGTCAAAATATAGGCTTATCTCTTTTTATTCCACATCTTTGAGCAGGTGTGTTATAGCTGTTAAGTGGGTTAAAGTTTACGATATGGGATACATTACCTTTCAGTGTTTAAATTCAGGCAAATCTTTTTTTCAGGAATTGGCTTCACTAGGTCTTGATCGACTCAAGTCTGCCCTGATGGCTTTGGGATTAAAATGCGGAGGGTAAGGATAATCTTAATGAATGACCATGAGTTTATGTTAATATGGTAAGGTAAATACCAGTATTTGTATCATAAATTGATGTACATAATTACCTCCCTCTGTAATTATTAGTTGGAAGGCTTAATTTGAAGTACCGTTGTGTTACAGAACCTTAGAGGAGAGAGCTCATAGGTTATTTAGCACAAAAGGACAGAGGCTGAAAGATTTGGACCCAACATTATTTGCCAAGTCCAAACCAGGAAAAGCTGGGAAAAGCAGGTAGATAAAAGCATTGTTAATGTTTGCAAAAACATTTAGATAATTTTAAGAAGGCAAACTGCTTATTGCTTAAAGTTACTGAAATGTTGAGATTTATTCAGATCATAGAAAAGTTGAATTTCTTTTTTGAAATAAAATACTGCCTAAAATATTGTGATGGAAGCACAAACTCAAAGAATACTTAGAAAATAGCTGATTGAAATTTGTTATTTTAGGGATAATGAAAAACAGAAGGAGATAGCAGCACTTGAAGCACAGATATACAGATTTATAGAGCTTCTCAGCGAACAGAGGCAGGCAACACGAGAAAATGTGCAGCGCAAGCAAGCACGTACAGGAGATGAACGGGAGGAGTCTGATGAGGAACATTTCAGTGAAGATGATTCAGATGATGATGATGACGATGACATCCCATATAATCCAAAAAATTTACCCTTGGGCTGGGATGGCAAGGTGAGCTTTAAAAGAATGTTGAAAATATTTTTGGTTAAAATGTTCAAGCAAAGAATTGTGTATACATTCAGAATTATAGTATCTTATATATTAATTGTTATAATGATAAAAAGTTTTTCTGTGCTCTAATTCTAGCCTGCTTGACTCTTAATGTGCAAGATCTTTCTTATGACCATTATTTTGATTGAAAATATACACTTATTGGATGCGTATAATAAATACAGTCATGATTTTATATTTTTTTCAGCCAATCCCATATTGGCTGTACAAATTACATGGCCTCAACATCAACTATAATTGTGAAATATGTGGAAACTATACCTACAGAGGACCCAAGGCATTCCAGAGACATTTCGCTGTAAGGGAAAAAGCCTAAATAATATTTATCTATTTCTTCTGGTATTGTCTCTCTAGCTGATTTTGAATATTTTCACAGTAGTAATATATAAGGTATCTAATGCGCAATTTTAAATGTATCACACTTTAATTGTTATTTTTATTCATGTAATTTTTTAGGAATGGCGCCATGCTCATGGAATGAGATGTCTTGGTATACCAAACACTGCACATTTTGCCAATGTCACATTAATAGAAGATGCCATTGCATGTACGTATATGGTCAGAGTGTTAATGATGGCTGCTGAACTTTTTGAGCATATCAGGTTCAAAGTTACAAAAGCTATTTTTTATCAACTATTTACTGGGGTTAGATTGAATAGTACTAGTTTAACCGATTTTCTATTATTAATAGGTCAAACTAAATATTATCAGTATGGATGGGCATCTTTTTTTCCACTTCCACAGATTTTCTAAGATATTTTTATCTTTTAGTGTGGCAGAAACTCAAAGGCAATAAAGATGTAGAAAGATGGAAACCTGACACAGAGGTGAGTTGAATTTGGTATTAATTGCAGATTTTGAAGTTTTAATTTTTTTTTGATTTAGTCTAAAACCATAAATAATGCCAGACATTAAGTAAATTTATAGAAAGTAGATAGATAGATAGATGTAAATGTTCATTGAAATGTTTTATTCATACTTTCAGGAGGAATATGAGGATTCTGCCGGCAATGTTGTAACAAAGAAAACCTTTGAAGATCTGAAGAGACAAGGACTCTTATAATGCAACATATTCTCAGGCATTACTGATTTATAAACTTGACAGACTGTGGACCACGTCCTTATGGTAGAAATCGAGTCAGGTCTTTTAAGGGTAGTCTTTCAGGGCAAGAGACATTTGATGTTCAAAAAATTTTATTTGAATTTCCAGAAATACTTTGCTGTATAAATGTCAGTTAAAATTTCAGAAACTGCACAGTCGTCATGATTGTGATTAGAGATAATGCGTTTTGTTAAGAAGTATCAGTGATAACAAAGTGTACTTTGTTTATAAAGATTTTTTATTTTTCATATAACTATTATTAGATAAAAATAAAGACAAAGGAAAATGTCACCAAGGATTACAAACAGAGGCAAAGCTGCCTGTAATTTTGTGCAACCAATGTCTGTATGTAGCATACAATCTGTATACAAGTTACAACATCTTTGGAAAATCTTGTGCTTTGCTGTCCTTTATCAAAATGGCAAACAAAATTTTTCCCAGTATCTCTCATAGGAATGTTATGATTAATGCACCATCATTGTTCTAATTAAAGGAAAAATAACAAGCTACCTTACATGGCAGTTTTCAAGGTTAAAAAAAAATGTTCAAATTAACAAAATTTGTGTTGAAATAGAATGTTGATCTTTCGATCATTGCCTGATCTTGGTCACCCACTTGAAGATAATCCAACCAAATCATGGAATTGTTCCAGATTTACCCTGGCTAAAGAAAATTCAACATTTTTTTCATCACTGATTTGATAGGCATTTCTTTGACTTCAATGGCAAAAAGTCAAAATGTTGGATAATGAACAGTTTTATAATTTCCGTTCACAAATCAAACTTTTTAAAATAAAAAAAATATGTATTCCATCACGAACACCTCCTGTACAAATTTACTGAGCACCAGACTTTGATATATAAGTTATAAACATTTTTAAAAAATGTAAAGTAATGGCAAAATGTACAAAGCACCTTTAATAAATGTTGGTTTTCCTTATTTGCCATTCACAAGGATGTTAAAACCACAACAACAACAAAATGGTCCCTCACTTTTTAAGTTCAAAAAAATCTAAACTACATTAACAAAACAAAAACAGTAACTCACTGACTGCAAACAACCCAAATTACGATAAGCAACGGATACGAGAATGCTACATTTTAAATGAAACAAGTTGGGAACAAATCATTAAATCCCAGAATTAAAGGAAAAAATAAACTACACTATGACATGTCTACAACAAACTTGTGCACTTAAATAAAGTGGGGTATTCCTAATACTTCTAGAGAGTTACTGCTCACTGTTAGGTAACAGTTTGGCTTTGTATGCACCAACCACCAACTTGGCCTAGAATAAATAAGATCATATGGAAAATTTCCAATCTCGTACAACCAATTTACCCCGAAGTTCGTTTTAATTTTATCAATAGAGCTTTCATTTTGTTTTCTAAATTTGCAATGAAACAATATAATTTAGAACTTCAGTATAAACAAGAAACTTATGCAACTAAAAGTTGACATGTCAGTTATCAACATATCAATAAAAAAGAAAGAAGTGCTTAAAGAATCTTTTACAAAATACATAAATCATATGGTTTCCATATTCACGATCAGGCTAACAAATCAAGTATTACTAAAAAGAACCATAAGAATCACTTCAATTTACAAAACTTACTCGTGAAGTGGGTGCATAAACTGTATGAATTATGAGCTCATTTCTTCCATTGTGTAGTGGGCTGAAAGACAGCACAAACTGACCTTCCTAGAAAAAAAGAAAAATTTATTATATCTACTGCAAAAAAATGCTACTTTAGAGAAAAATTATCTCAAGTAGTGCCCCTGTATATCACCTAACTTCTGGTGTCTTGTGCTTGACAATGCATTATAAAGTAGACCTTGTATATAATGGCCTCACATAAACTGGGCACTCATCTATAACATACAGAATCTGGAAGTCCTGGTTCTGTATAACAACAAAGAACATTACCTGCGTATAACAGACTTACACTATAACAGAATTTCCTGAATAGTACATTACATGTGAGGTTGGAAAAGTGGACGTTTCCCCCTTAGTTGACCCAATTTGAGAAATTGCACAGAACCTAGATACAATTTAGATTCAGAGTGGACCTTTTATGTCTAACCTCCAACCTATGGGCCTGACTTTTCATTACATTTATCAAATTGTATCACATACTCATTCTTGAATTTTTACTTTAATTTTGTCTTATAGTTAATGGAACATTTTCTAAATGTTTAAATAAATGAGAACTCACATCTGTCAATGTTGGCTGTGCCACCCCATTTAAGATGGCAGTCTTCACAGCACATGGTCCTGACAATCTACACTTGGTCTCCTGAGGTGTAATACGGGCATGTGCCACAAACAGAAGCATACCCACACCTGCAAATGAAAATAAGACACAGACCCATAAACTATTCCCTGCAAATAGGTTGTGCACATAATCTGTTTTAAATGCCAGCCAAACTAATTTTTCCGGTGGCAAAAGAAAAAGGTAGTCATAAATGTTTAACAAGTTTAACACTTACAAATACCAGGTTGTCAAAATCTTTACATACCACGTACTATAAATGTATTCATTGACAAAAAGAAGAATTATTAGATTATTTTCTCATATTGAAATTCATTGAAAAAAGAACCTTTTGAATAAATACAGAGATATTTAATAATAACAAGTCTAATGTTCAAGACAAAAAGTGTTCAAACCTGGAACTGTTGGTTGTAGTTCATGGTTAAAGTGTATGACAAATTTGTCCCCTTCATTCAGTGGGAGAACATGAAGTGGAAACAAAGAGCACACAGTCTCTGCAGTATTGTTCATTGTCAGGTAAACTTGCTGGGTGAAAAGAGCTGTAAGTCTAATTTGGAATAGAACAAAATCATCAGTCTTAAGTAAATATTTGAAATGCAAACTTTTAACAAAAATGTATTTCTTCAAAAGTTATATATTTTTTTCTTATAATATAATTATGCATTGTATTCTATTAAATAGTTAAAAAGAAAAAAGACCAATGTTGTGATAAAACCTGTTTTACAGTGATAATATTTTCTCCCATACCAGATTTATCTAATCATTCATCTAATCCACATTAAAACCAAACTAACAGAAACCAAAACATATTGCTAAAGCATGAACAAAAATGGGAAAGAAGAAAAGAGACCCCTACTTCTTCACATGTTGGTTGATAGTGGCCTGAAGTTCCACACTGTTGAGAAGTTTGGCATACTTCAATGCAGTATTCCCAGTGGCATTCTCAGCTGAAAAGTCTGCGCCATTTTCTAACAGCATTTTCACAATTTGGTTGTGCCCTTTCTTTGTAGCCTGCAAGTTATAGAAATATATGCGAATGTTGAACAAGGCTGTTTGGTGTGTTCAACAAGACATCATTTTCTCAAAAGATATTAATGTGTGTCGTGTCAGCTTTTAAAAGACAAAATTTTACATATCACTTACAAGCATGCATATTATTTGTTCCTCAATCTGACTAGTCATGGGACTTATAACCTCACCTTGATGAGTGCAGTTTCCTGACTGCCATTTTGGATGTTGATGTGAGCTCCTAATGCCAGAAGTACTGCCACAGTACAAAGGTGACCCTAAAAAATACACAGCAATTTCATATTGGGTTTGCAATCTAATTCCCAAACCTCAATAAATTGAAGAACATAACAGCATGGGAAAGAGTGACAAAAAATAACAATAATAATAATAAGCAATATATCTCAAAAATAGAACATTTTGAATAAAATAGAAATAGCTGCACAGAGAAAAAAAAAGAAAGAAAGAAAGAAAAAAATCAATTGCCTGTTAACTTACATTCTCTGCAGCAAACATCAGTGGAGTGTTGCCCGTCTTTGCCTTGGCATTCATGTTAGCACCATTAATAACTAATAACTCCACCAGGTCATCAAACCCTAGCAAATAATGATAAAATTGTTTCAATGTTGTACTTGAAATGTAAAAAATATCAGAATTAATTTTGCATGAAATAAACTCAATCATTTTTTCATTATAAGGACTTGATGGGTAACAACTCTTCATATGAGATTCAATATTCCATAAATATGTTGTAAACAGCACATAAATATAGAATAAATTCCTTTTTGCCACCATAACGGCAGCTATTGCAATTATTCTGAAATCTGTGCTTGCTATCAGATCACATATGCATTCATAGATGGATATCCTCCATAATAATCTTAAAAGATTATTACAAAAAAAAAAAAAAAAAAAAAAAAAAAAAAAAAAAAAAAAAAAAAAAAATTAAAAAAAAAAAAAAAAAAAAAAAAAAAAA